GGGTGAGCGGAAAGGGGTGAACGAGTGTCAGATTAGTATTAACACCACAATCTGGTGTGCAAATGTTTGGAGCTATGTTGGAAACACTCGTCGGTACCTAATTATCCGCTGCATTCTGCGAATTCTCAACTTATCTCCCAACTATCGTATCCAGAATCCAATCCAAGGCGGGAAATAATTTGTGTAAAGTATCTCTAGTGCCAATCTGACCATTCCAGTCACAGGCAAAGACCAGTGTATTCCGGTGAGGGATTATTTTGATTACTTTTTGCAGCTATGGGTTACGTGTTTCGAGTGTGTTGTCCGGCAGTTGGCACCAACGCGAAGATGAGGATAACATATGTTAATAAAGTGCGTATGCAGTACTTTCGTAAACTATTGACTGATTTCCATGCAATAAATGTATGGTTGATCTACTCAAAGAGGTCGATTGCCGCTGGGATGGAGGCCCACACGGAAGTCGACCACTGAGATCTTGATTCCCCGTGAATCCGAGGTTCGAGCAAATAGTAGGCCTTCCTGCTGTGCTGTTGGACGCTGTCTATCTTCACACTTTGTATATCACGACAGAAAACCGTTAGCACATTCCAGCATCCAATTCCAAGAGTCCTTTCGACATTTCGTAGTCTAGTAAGTGTGCAGTTCGCCCGCGCTACCGAATCGGACTTGCGGAGCAAGTCGTTTTTTGACAATTTTGAGTGTATGAATCCACTATAGCCATGTAACTTGTTCGATGTTGCCTCCTCAAATAGTTTTATCACAAAATAAAAGCAGCGCTCGAACTCGTTTAATAACAGTCTACAGTCCCCAGGCCACCGTGTTCCAATCGAGGATCGTATCGAAACCACCTTCCCTAGTCGAGCAAGTCTTTCAGCGCACTTAACTGAGGATCGTTTGCGGAAAAAACTTGTTCTGTGCCTTAATAGACAACGAATTTATTTGGATTATACATTTCTTTCCGTGTGTGCGGTGCAAGTGTCACGTCACGCGAGTTACCAATTAACGATAGGATTCGCAGAACTTTTCTGTCAGCGTTCATTTGAATTGGTCTTCCCGGTTAGTTTCAGACAGCTCCTGTTCCCAGAGGAGCTACAGTGTACCCTACAGAAAAAATGTGCCACATTCTTCCTCGTCATCATTTTTGATAATCAACCGTTTGCTTCCTTGTCTTGTGACAGAGCAGTCCTTATATTTGCTCCTTTTTAGCCCGGCCATTTGATGGATACACCAAGGCTTATTTTGGACAGCACGGATGGACAGAACGCCCAAGTGGCAACTGTCAGTCGCACCAGTTCACCCCCTCCCTTGGACGCATTTAATCCACCTGTTGTGGCCG